CCAGGCCCAGAGGTGCCGGGGCTCTGAACTGCCAGGCCTAGAGGTGCTGGGGCTCAGCCCTGGCACAAATGAAGCACTGCGTATGCAGCCAGAGATGACCTGTACCTGCAGATGGGGGGGGGGGGGGGGGCAGACTGAGGGCAGCAGTGTCAGTAGATGTTACTGAGCATGCTCAGTACAAGCCAAGCAGCAACTCAGGGCACACTATAGTTCTGGTTTGGCATTCTGGCTGATTTTATGCAGCTGCAGGAGGATAACACCAGTGCTGGAAACATCCCTGGGTTTGTTTGCCTAATAATCCACCCACATTTTATACCAGGGCAGCAATTCACTGCAATGACTCCTTCGGGGCCTGGCTTTTCTGGGCAGCCTCTTTTTCTGTATCCACAGTTCTCCAGGCCCAAATAACTCTGCACCATGTAGGTCAGAGGATCTAAAGGGAAGCCATTTTTTTAAAATTCTGGCCCCACTGTACACTGGCCCCCAAAAACTGCCCAACGGAGATGACATTCCATCACCGACCTGGAGAGAACTGGTTGTGGTTTCCTAAAGCTGTTACCAATCCTTACAACCTTCTGGTCTCCCTCCACGTTTAACCCTGGAGCCTGACTGTTCACCTGCTGCATTGGATTTTCTCATCTGAAAGCTCCAGCCGAGCCACTGCATTGTTTATTACGTTCCCTGTTCTCAGATTACACTGACGTACTCTCTTAAGATCCTCCACGTCCGGTGAGAAGCCAGTGAGCATGGAGACATCGATGATGGACATTGTGGCATCAACCACACCGAGGAACCTGACGAGGAGAAGAGAAAATACCCTTTTGATCAGAATTCATCACTTGAACGTTGATTTTGTGATCGCTCCACCAGCTCTTGTTGCTTTATCATAACTTTTTTGGTCATTCCATACAAAAATTCATAGCCCAGGATTCTCCAACTACCCCCTTCATCTGTCCATCTACCACTGCATCTGCCCATCTATTTATCGTCTATCATTAAAGGGCATTGTTCTCACCTGATGCAGATTTTAATATAGACTGAACGCATCGCTCCTTCCGGCTTCTTAACTAGAAACATTGCAGAAGAGAAAAGAAATTAATATCTCAGTGTAAATTTCATGCCAGACAAACCCTCTTGTTTTTTAGGTGCACTAACATGGCTTAGTAATCAAACAGGTCCTACAGTAGGTGTTAAAAATCCCTCAATAAACCTCCCCGCCCCTCCAGCAATCCATAAATAACTTTTCCCGTCTCTGGCACACAAACTAAAAAGCCTCTCCCAGCAGGGTGGCACAAACGAAATATAGTCTAGAGTTACCAGAAAGAGGAACTGAAACAGAGAGAACCTGTGGGTGTGAACTTGGACAGCTGGGAAAGTTAAGAACAATTTACAGCGATCTCCTGTTTCTGGAAAAGCGGTGCCAAAATCCTGGATCCCTCTATCCTATACTGGTCTAATGTGTGGTCATATCTCCCTCTACTGGCCAGCCCTAGCAACTAGCGATCAGCTATTCACAGCTCAAGGAAATTACTCCTTTAGCCCAAGCAGCAGAGGCTTGTGTTTTGGGTGCTGAAGATCCTGACCTCTGTCCCATGCTGTCTGGAAATGTGTTCACTGGAAATTTGGGTCTGTAACCAGACTTCCTGGCATGGGCTCATCTCTACTTTAGAGAGAGACCATACCCAGAGTAGCTGGCCTGTGTTCCCATCCACATCCGATGCTCCAACTCTGCTGCTAACAAGTACCATGATGAGAGAAGGCAGCATTTGCTCCCTCATCTGGAATGACCCTGCATTAGCTGCAACTTAGAACATGTAGTAGCTGGAAATATTTTTTAGTGCCTGCCCTATGGGTATAATTTTGTAGGACATGGGAACTGGGAGAGTTTGAAGAAGCTTCACAAAAATACTTTCCAAAGTTAAGAATGTGATTGCAGAGATGGTGGTTGGTTTACACATTGGGGTAAATCCGCTGCTGTCCATGGAGTTACTCTGGATTTAAACTGCTGTAACTGAGCCAAATTTTTCCAGATCTGAGGATTGACAGCAAGCTTCAGAAGAGAAAAGACAGGCGGTTACTTACCACCCCGGGCTTCTTCGACCGATACCCTCAGGTCAAACTTCTTACACTGAGATTCATCCTCCCGTAGCTTTGCGTTATAGATCGTCATTACGGTTAAGGTCCCTTGTCCAGTTCCTTCTGCCTTCACAGTGAAGTCTTCATTCCATTTGGTCTGTAAAGTTGATCAAAGGTTAATTTTCTTTTGTACTTCATTAATTATTATTATTATTATTATTTAAAGACAGGGTAAATGAATTTAATGAAGAAAATGAAGCTGGTGAGATTGACAGTCACTCACCCGGAGGGGCTGGTGGGACTCTGCAGAGACAATAGCATGAAGGAGAAAAAAGGTTACTTCCCAGGCAGTAACTCTTTGATCTCCAGACATATTGCTTCTCCAGAGCCAAGCCTAAATAGCAACCCATCCCCTCCTACTTCTGGATTCAGCTCAAAACCACACACTCCAGGTCACTAACGCTGGAACAATTTACCTCGGGATGTGTGAGGCAAACCCCACCCAGCCCAGGGCTGCTCACTCAGCTGCGGCGACTCACCCCTCCAACGGAGCCTGCAGTGACTATCCCTGGTCAGGGCCCAGGCCAGATGACCCCAGGGACAAGTATTTCACTCTCCCCATCAGAGCTGAGAGTTACTCTGCACAACAGCTCTAGTCAGCCAGGGACCTTCCTCCGGCCTTGCAGTGTTACAGACGCCCCAGGCTTCTGGCCTGCCCTTGACCCAGTTCCTGTTCCTGCCCCAGCCATGCCCCAGCCATGCCCGAGCCTTGTTCCAGCCCACTTCAGCCTCGTCTGTGCCCTTGTTCCAGCCCTGTTACAGACCTGCTCCAGCCTGCATCCTCCTTCTGACTTCCCAGGCTCGCGGACTGACTCCAACCTGGCTTTGACTGTTGGCCTGCATCCGGACTCTGACTTCAATCCTGATTTGGCTTGTCTGTGGATTCTGACCCATGGCCTGTTCCCAGACCCTGATTTCAGCATTGCCCTTGGCCCAGTCCCAACTCTACAGCCAGCTCCAAACACCAGGCCTGACTGCCTAGAAGCTAGGGCCTGACAGGATGTGGTGGATTCTCCATCACTTCAAGTCTTTAAGTCAAGACTGGATATCTATCTAAGAGACACCTCACAGCTCAGCTAGAAGTTATGGGCTTGATTCAGAAATGAGTAGGTGAGGTTCTCTGGCCTGTGTCATGCCGAAGGTTAGACGAGATGATCATAATGGTCCCTTCTGGTCTTAAAAATCTGAGTCAAAAGTCTGGATTCGTTTGGATCTGGTGCCGGGACTATGAATTCCCCTCCCCCTCCCAAAAGGGTTTAGATAGGAGGTTCTAGTCAAATCCCCTTTCTCTATAATCAGTGATCTGTACTAATCACACAGAGAAGCATGATACCTCTGCTGTTCTGGCCACCAGAGCGTTCTGGTTTAAGATTTTGTAGTTTATCGGACTAGCACGGCGTGGCAGGAGAATAGAAACGTCCAAATTCAGGTCTTTGTGCTGTGGAACATCTATCTGGTACTGCGCAAGAGCCTGGAACACCATGATGGTAGCCTAGAACACCAGGAGGAAGACAAGAGGGTTACACCTTATTGTCTTATTGTGCTGAACATTTGACAGCTTCTAAAGAGACTCTTTAATGAAGAGGAACCAAAAATATAATGAAAGAAAACACCAGGGTTCCACTGGGTGTCACGCAGGCAAAGGGTTATATGATAATATTACCTGGCTCCTCTGTCGTGTGTTTCATCAGTAGATCTCCAAGCACTTTGCAAAGCAGTACAGTATCTTTATCCCCATTTTACAGATGGGGAAATGGAGGCACAGGGCAGGGAAGTAACTTTCCCAGGGTCACCCAGGAAGCCAGTGGCCAAGCCAGGAATAGAACCCATGGTCAATAAATAAATCTTGCATGGTCAATTAGCTTCCCATTGCCCCAGCTATTAATGGGCCAATTGTCAGCTGGACACAGCGCAACAAGATAGTGGCTCCTTCTATGTATATGTAACCCACACACCTCCTGGTGGCACCGAGACCATTTAGTGCGAGAGATTAATGAGTGTGCTACAGCCTTAGCTAAGAGCCACGTGGCTTTTAGCTCATGCAGGAGAGGCTCATGCATTTAGCTCCAAAGGTCCCAGGTTCGATCCCGCCTACCGACGACCGGGGTCTATCGGTATTACAAGTGGGGGCTTGTCCGGGACTCGAATGCAGGACCTCTTCCTAAATGCATGAGCCTCTATTGCCTGAGCTAAAAGCCATGTGGCCCTTAGCTAAGGCTGTAGCAGACGCAATAATCTCTCTCTCTAAGTGGTCTCAGTGCCACTAGAGGGAACAGAGCACCATACCCAGGAGGTGTGTGTAGGTTACATATATAGACACATCCGTGCCACACACAGCACAGTGTCAGGGATAGAACACATGCCCATGACTCAAAAATACAGACCACTCCCAGCAGAGCTTGTAGCATCCATTTAGGTAGAGAAAAGACACTCCATCTTTATTTAGCTGTCACTAGCAGTAGGGCTTTTATCCTCTCCAGTATCTCGTGTAAGCACAATTTAAAAAAAAGAATCCAAACAAACATAAGCTTACCGTTCTACTTAGAGATGGATTAAACCCAAATCAATTCAGATTAGTCATGATTCAACAATGGCTTTGTCATATGGACTCAGACCGTTGGTCCTACACGCCTGGTA